GCTAAAAATGTACTCAGCCTCAGGCCATCCTAGATGTAGATGAGTTTGTTTCTTCATCAGATTTGGAGAAATTTAGCATCGCATCATTTGCTCACCAATGGATGCTCTGCAGTGAATGGGTGCCGTCACAATGAGAGTCCAAACAGCTGATAAAACATCACTCCAGTACATCAGTTAATGTCTTCTAAAGTGAAAAGCTGTGTGTTTGTAAGAAGTAAATAAGGCATTTTAACTTTAAACTGTCTGGACAAAATACCAATAATCCATAATAATGCTTCCTCCAGTGAAAAAGTCCATTCCCTGTTGTCCTCTCACATCAAAACTCACGACATATTCACATTTTTTGGGGCTGTTTTCAGTTGTAAATAATGCATGATCTGTGCATATTTCACTCCTGATTCATACAAGATGACTTTTACACTAGAGAAAGCAATATATGGATGAAAGAATCATATTTTAGCCATGGTTTGAAGTTAAAAACGTGTTAATGATGGATTTGTTTCTTAAAAACACAGCTTTTCGCTTCTGAAGACATTAATTGGTAGACTGATAGAGTCGTGTGGATTACTTGTGGATTACTGTGATGGTTTTATCAGCTGTTTGGACTCTCAATCTGATGGCACCCATTCACTGCAGAGGACCCATTGGTGAGCAAGTGATGTAATGCTACATTTCTCCAAACCTGTTCCAATGAAGGAACAAACTGAGGGTGAGGCTGTGTATACTTTCAGCAAGTTTTCATTTTAGGGTGAACTATTTCTTTAAAGCATAAAATGTTTTACTTGCAAAGACGATATCATCAAGTGAACTACTAATGCAGTCGCTTTGTCCTGTTGTTTGTTGCGATATTCTAGCTTCCCGTCGTAGGTTCTCTTTGTGCAATAAAAAAAAAAGTTCCTCAGGGGCTCCGATCGTTTCCCTCTCGGTCTGGTCCGTCAGTACTTCAGTATTAAGTGTTGAAGAGGGTTTTTGAACGGTTTATGAATATACGCTCCACATATGCTTCGCCAGCAAATGTAATCCTGATGTAAGTGGCAGATTCACTGCATGAAGTTTCTCAGGGTTTTGCAGCCAGTTTATGCATCTGTTGTATTTGCGTGAAGCCACACCCACCGTACTACCCACAATCCTTTGCTACCCAGAGAAACTGGCAACATCAAATCTAGTGTAGTACCTCATTTGTGACTGGACTTCTGTTAGTTATGAATTGAAAGCATCATGTATCATCATCCATATCCCTGTATGCTTCAGTGTGTTTTCTAATTGTTTAGTCGGCTTTAAGTTTTGTCTATAGTTTAAACAAGGTTCAGAAGATACGAAAGGGAGACAAACACTGCCTTGGCTTTTTTTTCTAAGCAATTTATGTATTACTGCTCCTGTTATATTGATTTATTGTCCCTGTTATTATATTTTGTAAATAATAATAAAAAAAATTATAAAACAAACTTTGTCCTATAGTTGAAATGCCCCCTAATGACAACTAGCCCCGGACTGACTTATTAATATTCTTCATAATTAATTTAATCTATCTTTAAAATGTTTGAGGTCTTTTTTTTTATAAGAAATTAATCAAATTAGTACTTTTATTCAGCACGGATGGATTAAAATGATCAAAGGTGACAATAAGGGCATTTATAATGTTACAAAAGATTAATGCTGTTCTTTTAAACTTTCTATGCATCAAAGAATCCTGGGAAAAATATCAAAATATTAATAAACAAGCAACACAACTGTTATTGATAATAAGAAATCTTTCTTGAGCACCAAATGATTTTAAAAGGATTATGTGACACTGAAAACTGGAGTAATGGCTCCTGAAAATTCTTCAGCTTTGTCACAGGAATGAATTACATTTGAAAATAAATTCAAATAGAAAACAGTTATTTTAAATTGTAATATTTCACAATATTACAGTTTTAACTGTATTTTTTTTTTATCAAATAAATGCATCCTTGGTGAGCATAAGAGACTTCTTTCAAAAACATGAAAAAATTTTACCAACCCCAAACTTTTGAACAGTTGTGTATATAATTCTATAATTGTTTTAATATATTACATTTAATTTAATAACTTTAATACAATTGAATATAATTTTATATGATTTTATCTCATGTTGTCTCTTTTCCATGAAGTCATAATAAACAATGACAGGGGGCCTGTTTCATAAAACAAGTTTACCAAATAAGCCAGGCTTACTTCATTTAGTCCCCACGGGTGGACTGTTTAGTATCGTCAACATCAGTTTGAACTCCTGTAGTATTGTATTGTGTCCACTAGAGGGCAGATTAACATACAAATCTCAAACCAGCGAAGAAAGAAGCTCATCAAAGGCACAAATTTCTGTATAATCCGTAGCCTATATTAGACCAGACCTAAAAAAAAAAAAAATTCTAATAAAAAGTAATTAGTCGTTAAATCCAGTGACGTTACATCTAAGTAGAATTCAACAATCAGTAGCCTGTTAATCATCAGCGTTACTTTTTTATACTAGCATACATTATGAAAGCATCATCTATGAAGCATTTGGAAATTAAAAGACCTACAGTAACCAAAACCTATTTTTAGTATTTTTAACAGCCTTAAAGTAACGTTTCCACGTAACGTTCTGGTGGTAACGGTTTGTTAGTTGGGTAAATGTAGCTTACTAGGCCTATTAATTTTTCCAAACATTTGTTAGCTGCAGGGGCGTCGCTATAGGCCCTTTTTAGGGGAGCTTTATTAGCCTTAGAAAAAAACGGATTTGTGTTGTCATTTTTGAAGTGGCAAAGTGACTAAGTGCTGTTATTATTATTATTTTAAAACGAAAAAAAAAAGGGAATGGTTTAATATGGGGCACATCAAACATTATGCCAATTTAGACAATGACTGTAATCTAGGTTTGTCTATATTCTAAATTAATATTAATGAATATGATCTGAGTCTATCTATCTATCTATCTATCTAGCTATCTGTCTATCTATCTGTCTATCATCTATCTATCTATTTATCTATCTATCTATCATCTATCATCTATCTATCTATCTATCTATCTATCATCTATCTAGAATCTACTGTATAGGCTTATGTTTCTGCTTATTTTAGTATACAAACAATATATTAATGCCCAGTTTCACAGACCTTAAACCAAGGTTTACGCCTAGTCCCAGACTAAAATGCATGTTTGAGCTGTCTTAACTGAATACAAATTTCAAATGACATATCTTAATAAATAAATAATATAAATAATAATAATATATAATATAATATAATACAATATAATAATATCCCCCCACCCCACCAATTGGGAGCTGAGCCCCCTTAATATTACAATCCTAAAAATGCCCCTGGTTAGCTGTGTGGGCAATATGTGATCCTGGACCACAAAACCATTCATAAGTAGCCAACAATGCATTGTATTTATCAAAATTATCGATTTTTTAAATGCCAAAAATCATTAGGATATTACGTAAAGATCATGTTCCATTAAGATATTTTGTAAATTTCCTACCTTAAATATATCAAAACTTATTTTTCTGATTAGTAATATGCATTGCTAAGAAGAAAGGACAACTTTTAAGGCAATTTTCTCTCTCTTTTTTTTTTTGCACCCTCAGATTCCAGATTTTCATATAGTTGTCCAAATATCCTAACAAACCATACATCAATGGAAAGCTTATTTATTCAGCTTTCAGGTGATGTATAAATCTCAATTTCAAAAAAATTGACCCTTATGACTGGTTTTGTGGTCCATTGTCACATATATGGGTTGTGGCGATGATTTCAAATTAAATTATTCAGGGGCTGACTTGATGAGCATGCACCTACTGTTAAGCAGGCCAATGTTTCTGCTTATTTTAGTATACAAACAATATATTAATGCCCAGTTTCACAGACCTTAAACCAAGGTTTACGCCTAGTCCCAGACTAAAATGCATGTTTGAGCTGTCTTAACTGAATACAAATTTCAAATGACATATCTTAATAAATAAATAATATAAATAATAATAATATATAATATAATATAATACAATATAATAATATCCCCCCACCCCACCAATTGGGAGCTGAGCCCCCTTAATATTACAATCCTAAAAATGCCCCTGGTTAGCTGTGTGGGCAATATGTGATCCTGGACCACAAAACCATTCATAAGTAGCCAACAATGCATTGTATTTATCAAAATTATCGATTTTTTAAATGCCAAAAATCATTAGGATATTACGTAAAGATCATGTTCCATTAAGATATTTTGTAAATTTCCTACCTTAAATATATCAAAACTTATTTTTCTGATTAGTAATATGCATTGCTAAGAAGAAAGGACAACTTTTAAGGCAATTTTCTCTCTCTTTTTTTTTTTGCACCCTCAGATTCCAGATTTTCATATAGTTGTCCAAATATCCTAACAAACCATACATCAATGGAAAGCTTATTTATTCAGCTTTCAGGTGATGTATAAATCTCAATTTCAAAAAAATTGACCCTTATGACTGGTTTTGTGGTCCATTGTCACATATATGGGTTGTGGCGATGTTCACACGTTTTAAAATAAGTTGGCTAGGTGTTCCCCTAACTTTGTAAAAACACATTTTGTCTCATAGCCTATATCAAATGTTCAGAGGTGTGTTCAAGCAGTGAACTAAAAATATTCCCAATGAATTTAAAAACAACCAATCTCAAACCAAACCATGCTCATACCAAATCCTACTTTATCTATCTATCTATCTATCTATCTATCTATCTATGTCTGTCTGTCTGTCTGTCTGTCTATCATCTATCTATCTATCTATCTATCTATCTATCTATCATCTGTCTGTCTGTCTGTCTATCTATAGTCTAAATACCTCGGTATTCACACATATAGCCTACTTGAAAATCAAACATTGTCAACAACAAATGTAACGATTTAATATGACATAGCCTAAATGTAGTACAAATAATTGGCAAAGTTCATATTTACGTAATGATATGCCATAAAAGTTTGTGTGTGTCATATTCCGTTTCTGTAAGTGCAGCAGTGATTTGTCCACGCAGCGCGTTTGCGCAGGCGCGTCCCTCACACTGTCAAGGTGTGGACACGGTGTGGACACGGCGAGAGCGCGAGTGGGAACACAGTGGCGTGCTTTTGGAAAAGGAGTGGATGCGTCTTCAGAAAAAAAAAAAACAGCCGGAAGGGGTGAACGCCAGTCCGTTTTTACAAAAGCAATATGTGCACCAACGCGTCACCCTTTGAAGTTCTTGATATATAAAGTCGTAAAGCTCTCGCGTCTTTCACCGTCACCTAAGAGCTGAAGTGAAGTACGAAGAGCGCAGGTAGAAGAGCAGAGCCGGAAGAACTCGCATTACTGGTCGCGTTCGCTTTGTTTTGCTTCTTCCAAGTGGATTATCTTTGATATTATCACATAAATGAAGTGAGATTTAAAGTGCTAGTTTTAAAGTGCATCCGAGCTAAAGAAATTATGACGGACTTGAGGAAAAATAAACTCTTCGTCCTGGTGGACGTGCTGTGTGTTGTTGTAGGTAAGCGAGTTCAATGTTTCAACGTTCAATGTCCTGATTTGAAGTTCATTTCTGAACTTGCAAGCTGTTGGTTGAATGCTATTTTATTCATTTCTAACATGGGATTTGTCTTTTTAAACAATATAGGCTATTATGTAACTGGGTTGTTGACAGATAACATAGACATGGACGATCAAAAAAGAACAAAAATGTAATCGTGTTTGTATTGTAAGGTAGGCTAAATTGGCAACTGTAAATATAAAAGAGACAATTATATGGTCAATTACATTTAAATCAAGTTTAGCTTTTCCCATAACCTTGCATAAGCACACAACCTTGCAAAACTGCCTTGGCTTTGTACCAAGTTGCAATAAACAATTTTGACATGCTGTCGCCATGTATAATTTGAAGACCAGTCTGGTTATGTTTTTGTCTTTTGTCAATATCTTACTTATTGTAAAAAGCAAATGCTTTAGGCCATGTTCAAAGTGTCATGATAAGGGGCCTGTCTTTAGAAGATTTTCATGTTTAAATATGTATTTGGAGGTGTGTTCTGTGTTTACAAATGGAGTTGCATTCGTCCTGGCTTCTTTTCCTGGATTTTGCAAGTTCAGGAAGCTGAGTATTTGTTTATGGAAATGCGATCCAAGCCTGTCCGTATTTCCCACAGTGTTTGGCAGCCTGTAGTGCCACAGAAATGTTCCTTTTCTTGCATTTTTGGCTTTATTCAGGGCTTTGCTTGCAGACAAACCCAATGACCATAAACATCCTAACATAGTCACATAGTAGTACCCATTACGGAAGATTCGACTTGCCTCAGTGCTGAAGTGAGTGCGAACCAGCTTGACCATTACTTCCTTTGGAAACACTGTGTTTTTCTTAACCGCATGAGGTAACCCTGCTATGACGTTGGGAGATGAAGTTTCTGCACCTGCCCTTTGAAGTCCTTTATTGTGTCTGTGTTCTCCAACCTCCAGCATTGGATTTCACGAGGGCTAGAACTTGCCCTAGGCTCCATCCTTCACCTTTAGTCTCAGACTACACCTTTACCATGGTGCACATGTCTCTATCTAGATGAAGTGACTGATTTGAGGTTGTCTGTCCATGATGTGGACAGGGATGGACAATATTGTCTTAGTCATATGCTCTTTGAATTCATGGCTAGTTTCATATGCTTTTGAAATGCTATTTTTAACAAACGTTTCAATGTAATGTCATGTGGTGCACAGTTGTTGTAGTTAACTAAGACTAAAATGATAAAAAATTGTTTTTGTTCATTGAAATTAAGCTGAAAAAAATATTAGATGGAAAACTAAAGCTTAAAATACACAAATTTTAAATGTTTACCTAGCAACTTAATAAAGTAAGTTTAAGTACTAAAATGACTAAAACTAAAACTGAATCAAGTATAAATTAAGCCAAATAGAAATATTTTTAATGAAAAAAGGACATTAAAAAAATATTAAAACTATTGAAATGAAAACTGAAAATATAAATAAAATAAATACAACAATAAATAAATAAATAAATGCTACTTGAAATGATGAATAAATATAATAATAGTATATAAATAATACTAAAATAACATTAATGTGTTGTAACCATCAAGTAAAAAACACCTTTCCCAAAACATTTTAAACGTTTCATGGTAATTTTCCTTTTTTCTTTTTACAAATAACATGAATTAATTCATAATATCTTAACATTATTGGGGAGGTTGTACCACATGACATTTTATAAATAAAAAGGTCATAAATAGATTTTTTAAGAGACTTGTTGACCTTCACACACAGTGATAAGGGTCTTGAGGGTTGCACCACATGACATTGTTGGTTCTCAGATGCTTTTGAAAAGACCATCAATATTTTTCCAACTTAACAGAATAATTTACAGAAAATTAAAATTCTGTTGTTAATACAAACCGCATAAAAGAATTTGTTGCAGATAATTTTTCAATTTGGTCAGTTTTCTGATAAAGATTCATGTGTGGAAATAAAGGCACATCTGAGAAAGGTCAATAACTTCTCATTCAGTGTCGCCCATAACTATATATGAGTGTGTATGCGTAATTTGGTTTCTGATTGATCTACAAGGACATAAAAGAGAGCTCAAAGTCCTGTCAATTTGAGACACTTGGCCTTGAGCTAACGAAAGCAAGCACAGGTGGAATTATTCAGTCATTTTCAAATAAATATCAGCCTCTCCGATTGCTTTAGAAACAACAGAAAGTCCCAGAGTTCAGCTACTGGAGAATTTCTGTAAGTGTTTCTGGGCAGTAATATCCTTTCCCAGCCCAGAATTTGACATTCAATCCAGCCCACCACCCTCTGCTTCTCTTTTCCTTCTGTCTAAGTAAACTTTCCCTCCACACAAACACAGTCTGGCTTTTGCTTTAGCTCACAGGCGTGTATTTTACTGCTCCCTCTATGCTGGTATGCTTTATGATTTTTACATGATCAATCATTGAGTATTTACAGAAATAATACTTGGCAGATAATATTCAGCGTCTATTCGAGTCAAAGCTGCAAGATCAGTGTTTTACTTCAGTGAAAGTGAAATTGATGGGAGTTATCTAAGCTTATCTGTTTAATATCAAGCCAAGCTTTTGGCCCAGTACTGAAGGACTTTCCAGGCCTTTTTACCAGGAGCTCAGTATTTTTAATAAAGCACTATATTTAATAACTAATAGTATAATGTACAGCGAAGGAACATTTCTTGTTTTAGCAGACCCCGTTTATACATTTCATTTTATTGGTATTTTGTAATAAAGTATAACAGGGCCTGTATGCAAATGCTTTTATCCGAATGACTTACAGATGAGGAATGTTACAAAGAGTGATTCATACAAAGAAGTCATGAAACATGAATGCCACAATAAATCATTTCTTCAGCAAAGTACAAGTTGGAACAGACATGTAGTTTACACAAATAAGAAGTAGAATTAATTAATGAATTTTCATGGGTTAAATGCTATATATACAGTGGGTACGGAAAGTATTCAGACCCCCTTAAATTTTTCACTCTTTGTTATATTGCAGCCATTTGCTAAAATCATTTAAGTTAATTTTTTTTCCTCATTAATGTACACACAGGTATATATAGTATGTGTGTGTGCGCTCAGTTAAAAACAGTAATATTGTGAAATATTATTACAATTTAACACTGTTTTCTGTTTTTATATATTTTAGAATGTAATTTATTCTAGTGATGTAAAGCTGAATTTTCAGCTTCATTACGCCTGTCTTGAGTGTCACATGATCTTTCAGAAATCATTCTAATATGCTGATTTTGTGTTCAAGAAACATTTATTATCAATGTTGAAAACAGTTGTGCTGCTTCACTTTTGATCAATTTAATGCATCCTTGCTGAATAAAAATATAAATTTCTTTAAAAAATTGAACAGTAGTTTTTAGAAACATTTTAGAATTTACATTTGTTTCAAAAAAAAGAGAGAGAGTGACTCTGCTTTTCAGGTAGAATTGGGAAAATTAGCGTCATAGCATTGTGCAATAACCAGCAAAGGCATATTGCCAGACTAATTCCCTAGAACTACTGGAGAAATAATATGGGAAAACGACAAGGAAAAGTTTAGGCTGTTGGAACTGTCATGCAGCATTATATTTCAGGTCTTGGTTAAACTTGTTCAGAAAGGTCTGCGTGAGATGGCAGTTGCAACATCAACAAAATTGTTCAGAAAATTATCAATGAAACAGTTGTGCTGCTTCACTTTTGATCAATTTAATGCATCCTTGCTGAATAAAAATATAAATTTCTTTAAAAAATTGAACAGTAGTTTTTAGAAACATTTTAGAATTTACATTTGTTTCAAAAAAAAGAGAGAGAGTGACTCTGCTTTTCAGGTAGAATTGGGAAAATTAGCGTCATAGCATTGTGCAATAACCAGCAAAGGCATATTGCCAGACTAATTCCCTAGAACTACTGGAGAAATAATATGGGAAAACGACAAGGAAAAGTTTAGGCTGTTGGAACTGTCATGCAGCATTATATTTCAGGTCTTGGTTAAACTTGTTCAGAAAGGTCTGCGTGAGATGGCAGTTGCAACATCAACAAAATTGTTCAGAAATTGGTCACATCATGAGACTATTAACATAATGATGCTGTTCCATTAATCACAGAAACCTTCTTTAAAGCAAAACTATTTGGCTAAACACTACTAGCGTACAAGTTAGCCTATTTCCCACGCAATGTTATATATTTCCGTAGCTTTCAAGAGCGTAAATCAAACACTAGCATTAGCGTGGGGAGGTAGAGGGCTGGGACGGACGGACTCTGTTGTATGGCGAAAGAGAAGAGGAGGAGGGTGGGCGTTTCTTCTTGAAGTAGGATTCCAGACTCTCCTGCGAGGCTGTATGCTCAGCACATAGCTTCCAAATGAGTCAGGCGGCCTTGCCAAACTACAGCTCAGGGAGTGCTGCCGGCAGACAGACCGCCTTCAAAACTCTCACTTAAGGGGCGACAGGGTTGTATTTTCGTAACACTTATGATGGTACTCCAAAAAACCCACAAAGAAAGTCAAGAACATCTCATTTTCATTTTCAGAGTAGGAACAGAACATTGTGGGTTCGGCTCGTATGAACTGGGCTTCGAATGTTGAAATGAAGCCAGAATGGATCAAGTCTGGTGTTGAAAACTGAGTGTATTTGTTAATGCACCTTGAAACAAGTTAGGATACAAGATAAGTCAGTAAAAACATAGGGTGTGTTTGATAATGAAAGGTGGTGAACCAATTTTAGGGTGAAGGTCAAAGCCGACCCTAAGAAAATAGGCTACTCCCTATAGCCAAAACCAAAGACAAGATTTCTTTACTTTTTCTTTACTTCTTTACTTTTTTTTTTTTAAATGACTGAGTGGGTTTTCGCCAGGGTTTTTTTTTTTTTTCATTGGAAATGCACCAACTCATGCGTCCTTGAAACTGCAAGCAGCACAATTCAGATTTACTGTAAATGTATGAGCTAAATGCTCTCATAATTTCAGTTTCTTGGACCAGCATCATCATACC